TAATTTTCAAAACTCAATAAAAACAAATGGCATAGCAAATTTTCAGTTAATAAAAATAAAATCTAAATAGCATTTACAATGGCGTTTTTATTAAAGATTAAAATGTGGGAGATCATTTTGCCGGACCCTGTATTATATATAATATTTAAACGAGAATACATTTACATGTACATTTAGCATAACCGTCGAATATTTTAACGTTTTTTTTTTAGAAAATTAAAAATCAATTTCATTTTTTTTACATTTTCTTATAGTTTAACATTTTAAAGTGCACTTTAAAGCAGTTGTACACAAGCTGACGTAAAGATTTACTCGTAGAATTAGCATATTAGTTTATTATAGCATATTAGTTTATTTTAAACATTTTTCCAAACACTGTTTTAATGTTATTTTATATTCATATTTTTTCTATTTTTACAATATTCAAAAGTCTTTTTTATACCCAAAAAAAATTTTCGATTTTTTCAATCCGTCACTATAGGATGACTCCATAATAAAGGGATAAATATTTATGATAAAAATGTGAAAATGTTCGAAAAGATGTTTTTCGTAGATGGATGTGCTAAATATACGTGTAAATGTATTTTTTTTTTTCAAACGTATAATAACAAGCCCTAGTATATATCCTGAAACACCTTACCGGTTGATAGGTTGAAATCTATCATTCTCTGTTCCTATTGCCTATAATGTTTGGTCCATAACCTTGCTCTAAAAAGTTTTATAAATCGGCTTAAGTCATAAGTCGAAAAAGATAATTAAATAACAATAATTTCTGTCTTTTTGTGATGGCTTTATACTTTAACCGTTAGACTTAAGCGAATTGAAAAATCCAGTTCTTACGATCTAAAAGTATAAGTTCTGTGACCGATATATCGTCAATTACAACTTACAGCTTATGGTTTATAGCCTGTTAAAGCAAGATTGTAGATTTAGCCTTATATGTTTTTCTCAGGCTTTATGATTCGTTATTTTTTTCATTCCTTTTTTTAATGCTAAAACAAGATTAATAAACAACTTTTTTTAATAATATTTTTTTAAATATTAATATTCATTTGCATTTAAGTATATAAAAAAGACAGTATATAGTAAATAAAGCTCTTTCAACTCTCCTCGTCATTGCTTATTTTTATTCAACGGCGTAATATGACAAAATAAAGATACGTTCATTCAAACAACATACATGAGAAAGAGAGAAAGAAAGATAGAAATTTTAATTTAAAAAAAATTAAGTCTCTTAAAAAAAAGAAAAAGATTCAACTTGACATAAAATTATTGACTAATTAAATAATATTGGCAAAAAATAAAATAATTCGTTAACATATATTTAAATATCATTTTTATTTTCATTTCAATCCTTAAGAACTACTCTTTTTGAATTGTGAATTTTTTTTTAAATTATCCTTTTTTGAGTTGTAACGAATTTGATAGTTTTTTCTCAGATTAATGTCTATTTTTTATCAATGTACAGAACCCTCCATAAGTTTGGGAACACTACGTTTTACAGAAAAATCATTACATGACGATCTGTACCCAGCAAACAAAAATGGATTGAAATAGATTGAAAATTTTCAATCCACCCGAATCTATACTTCAAATCCATAAAAATGGATTGGATTCCATATAAATATTTTTATATATGTAAAAGTTTAAATAAATTAAAATAGTAATTATATGAAATTCTATAGTTATTTTAAAACTTTTATTCTTATTCATATTTCTGAATAAAATAGCATTAATAATGCATTTTTAAATGAAATAATGCATTTTTTTACAATTTTGAATTGAATAGCATTCATGGCCCATTTTAAAAGAAAAACTTTTTTTTATATTCAACTGAATTAAAAAAACTGTATTTTCTATTCAGAATTTTAAATTAAGCAATTCATCATGCACAGAAATGATTGATACTATTTTTAGATTGCATAGAAAAGCATAGAAATATACTTCATGACATTCCTATAAATGAATAAAAATGTATTCAGGATTGAAGAGGATTCATTTTAATATTCATGAATCCGTATTTCTAAAAATCTGAATCTATTATTTAATCCATTTCAATTCATTCTCTTTGTTGGGTACAAAAACAAGTATTTTAATTAAAATAAATAAGATAAGTCTCTTCATAAGATAAATAAGATCTCTTCATAAAATGTCTGAATCAACATATCTATAAGCTTGTACATGCTGAAAATATGTTGGACAATTATTTCATAGCATAGCTCGAAGCGTTCAAGATTGAATTTCGCGCTTTGGTCTACTGTTAATGTGTACATTGTCACTTGTTTTGCATTATCTAACGTACGTATATATATATATATATATA